TGAAGGAAATTTGGCAACATTTGAATGTTCATAGGGTGTTCTTCCTTAGCACGGCAGAGGATAGTCATCGGGACGTCCCACGAGGGAACCCGCCGTCGGCGCCGTTGCTCGATCGGCCCGACGCTTGACCCCGCGACGCCTCGCGTCAAATCGCGGGAAAACCGAGGGGTTCGGCACGAATTTTGTTGGTGAGAAGAGGATTTTCCGCGCGGGATGGCAGCGCCCGATGCCGGAAAACGATGCGATCGACGGACGCGACGCCGAACGCCGAGTTTACTGCAATCGCAGCCGAGCAAGAAGGTCGACGCGGTCCAGCGCCCCCGCGCAACGGACGACACCGCATTTGTCAGATCGCTGAAAAGAAAATTCGCCTACTCAATCAAGAGATCGCAAATTAGGAAAGGTAGATTCCCCACATAGGGAAAGTAATGCTATGTTTAGTCGCTCCTTAGACAGCTCCTTTCCTTAGGAGGCTCCATTTGGTTTCTATTGGTTTGAAGGTTGGACACAGCATTTGTCAGATCGCTGGAAAGAAAAGTCGCCTACTTAATCAAGAGATCGAAAATCAGAAAAGGTAGATTTCTCACATAGGGAAAGTATTGCCATGTTTTGTCGTTCATTAAACAGTTCCTTTCCCTAGGAGGCTCCATTTGGTTTCTATTGGTTGTAAGGTTGGACACAGCATTTGTCAGATCGCTGGAAAGAAAATTCGCCTACTTAATCAAGGGATCGCAAATGAGAAGAGGTAGATTCCTCACATAGGGAAAGTAATGCTATGTTTAGTCGCTCCTTAGACAGCTCCTCTCCTTAGGAGGCTCAATTTGGTTTTTACTGGTTTTTATGGTTGGACACAGCAATTGTCAGATCGCTGGAAACAAAATTCGCCTACTTTTTCAAGAGATCGCAAATGAGAAGAGGTAGATTCCTCACATAGGGAAAGTAATGCTATGTTTAGTTGCTCCTTAGACAGCTCCTTTCCTTAGGAGGCTCCATTTGGTTTCTATTGGTTGTAAGGTTGGACACAGCATTTGTCAGATAGCTTGAAAGAGAATTCGCCTACTCTGTCAAGAGATCGCGCGCAAATGAAAAAAAGTAGATTCCTCACATTAGGGAAAGTAGTGCTATCTTAATTATTTCTTCACAGAAAGACCGAGGGCAGGGTTGCCAGCCAAGGAATACCCGGAAAATCGGGAAATGTCAGGGAATTTAAAAAGTCGAGAAGAACCCGGAAATGGCAGGGAAACGACGAAAGTGTCGGGGAAAAATTGTTAAGGCACCTTTATTTGCTCTCTAGATTAGGCTTGACGTTCCAATTAACAAATTTTGCTTAAAACCTGTTTCTGATTATGTTTTGTTGACCATCTGTGGCATATTTTCAACGGTCGCGCTGGTTCCTTCTTGTTAAATGCGATCCAATTGTAGGACCGCCCGGAAACTCGTCGCTAAATCAGGCCCCGAGAAACCGGGATATCGCCAATCGCAAGTCCGCACTAAGCAGCCTGGTCCAGGTTGCTAATCTGGGCGCTGCGCCGGTGTTTGGCCAGTACGTGGATCACTTCTCATTTGCATAGGGAACTGCTGTCAGCGTGAACCTTCTGGCCTGGCTCGTCCACTTTCAGAACATATGGTCGTCCACTATAGTCCAAACCCTCACTTCCGTTTAATACCATTGTGCCATTCCTGCCCTGTCATTTGGAGCTAGAGATAGGAGACCCACTCCACCGGCCTCTTGGCAACAGGTGGAAGCTTTTCCTTTCGGGGACTGAACAGTTCCTTATGGACAATTATAAGGGAGCAACAGTCATCACTCTTTTTTCAGCTTTTGACCGACCCACTTGGTGGATGATGAGCTTTGGGTGACGTCATGAGTCTAACAAATTTCTCAAACTTCGGCTTGTTTGCAAAATGAAATTGCCAACACGTTGTTAAACATCAATCATGTAGTTAAGTTAACAGTAGAATGCTACAGTCCCGAAAGTAAAAGCTTCCGCAATTGCCAAGATCAGGCCCGCCACATCCTATCTCGGGTCCTGGTACCAGTTTTAAGGTCCGGGCCCCAAGCATGGAGAGGGGGGGGGCCCGAGGGGCATCCCCCGAGAAATTTTTGAATTTATACGACTAATCGGACGCATTTTGAAGCCTCCTTAAAGAATTTTTCCATCAATTTCTGCGGAATAATTATGTTTTTTTTCCTACTTTCAGCACAGAATATTTGCGAATTGTTGCATTCAAAACATATGGAAAATTTTTATTTTTTTTTTGGGGGGGGGGAGGGCATATGATACTATTTTCAGTTCTAAGAGGGCCAGGCCCCCCTTGACTCCACCTTCCTTTGTCTATGGCAAGGGAGTTGAGCCATGAGCCATTGAAGTCGAGGATGGAGACTCTTAGCACCTGACGACGGAAGAAAATGAAACGCAGTTACTAAAAATATCCCTCTGTACTAAAAATCTTGAAAATAGTTAGAAATTTTCCAAGAAGGATACATCTTTGAAAATTTAAGGAGAAATCTACAGTGCCCCAGCGTGTTTCTGAATATCTATTCACCTTTTGCGAAATTTTTAGGGTAAATGTTTCACTTTTTCTTACGAAACAAGGATTGCATGTGAATTCGTAGTGGTTTTTCACGGGTAACACGGGGCCCCGGTACCAGGGACCCAGTATCCCCCCCTTGTGGCAGGCCTGCCTTCATGCACGCTGCGCTTGTCGATTCCCTCTGAAATGTTTGCAGTGGTGAATGCATAGCTGAAGCGCACTTCAGCTACAATTGTATTTACGAATGGGTGGTTTTTCTACGAGGATTAAAAATAAACGAGTGGTACGGAATATAACCAAAGAATATGAACTATGTCAAACGATAATCCGGGTATTGGAACTTGGCTGTTTTAAAAACGCCTTCAAATGCGGCGTGATACCTCGCACATTCCGGAGGGTTCAAATACTTGTATCATTGCGCCTTAGAAATTGCGACGGAAGATTGCAATTGAAATAGCCTTCATGCACGCTGGCCTTTTCGATTTCCGTTAACATTTTTGTAGTCAAGGGTGCGCTTAAGTGCGCTTCAGCTCGAATTGTATTTAGCAGAGGGTGGTTTTCTTAGGAGGATTATAATTAAACAAGTGGTTAGAAATGGAAACGAAATAATATGAACTATGCAAAACGATAATCCGGGTATTGGAACTTGGCTGTTTTAAAAACGCCTTCAAATGCGGCGTGATACCTCACACATTCCGGAGGGTTCAAACACTTGTATCATTGCGCCTTAGAAATTGCGACGGAAGATTGCAATTGAAATAGCCTTCATGCACGCTGGCCTTTTCGATTTCCGTTAACATTTTTGTAGTCATGGATGCGCTTAAGTGCGCTTCAGCTCGAATTGTATTTAGCAGAGGGTGGTTTTCTTAGGAGGATTATAATTAAACAAGTGGTTAGAAATGGAAACGAAATAATATGAACTATGCAAAACGATAATCCGGGTATCGGAACTCGGCTGATTTGAAAACGCCTTCAAATGCGGCGTGATACCTCACGCATTCCGGAGAGTTCAAATAGTTGTATCATTGTGCCGTAAGAATGTGACGGAAGATTTAAACGGAAATAGCCTCCATGCACGCTGGGCTTGTCGATTTCCTCTGAAATTTTTGCAGTGGTAAATGCATAGCTGAAGTGCGCTTCAGCTACAGTTGTATTTACAAATGGGTGGTTTGTCTACGAGGATTAAAAATAAACGAGTGGCACGAATATAACAAAAGAATATGAACTATGCAAAACGATAATCCGGGTATCGGAACATGGCCGATTTGAAAACGCCTTCAAATGCGGCGTGATACCTTACACATTCCGGAGAGTTCAAATAGTTGTATCATTGCCCCTTAGAAATTGCGACGGAAGATTGCAATTGAAATAGCCTTCATGCACGCTGGCCTTTTCGATTTCCGTTAACATTTTTGTAGTCATGGATGCGCTCAAGTGCGATTCAGGTAGAATTGTATTTAGCAAATGGGTGGTTTCTATAGGAGGAGTATAATTAAACAAGTGATTAGATATGGAAACGAAATAATATGAACCATGCAAAACGATTATTCCGATAACGGAACTTGGCTGTTATGAAAACGCTGTTTTGGGATCAAGTTACATAGCCTTTATTATTTAACTTTCAAGCTCGCGTTTGTTTCTAAGGATTCCAGACGTATGCTGTTAGAATTTATGAGTCTTAGAATTTAAAATATCTATTGTGATATTTGAATACTCACTGATTTCGGAGTCGGATTTTAGCAGCGCGACGTGGTGGATTCTCTTCGGAACTACATCTGAAGATTTACCTTTACTTACTGACTTTTAGTCGAATTCAGTAGTCAGGTGGGTCAAGATCCTTCAACCGGGGGAGGGGGGCGGCTACCCTCAAAATCATTTTAAAATGCGTCGATCATGCAGTTTGAGTAAATTTCGTAACGAATAGTAATACGCCTCTTTCATTCTTTTTCTCTCCGTTCCTTCATTCTTTCTTTCCTCTCTTTTGCTTCCTCCTTTTTTTCTGGCAAAGAGGGGGGGGGGACGCTCCTCCTATGAATTCGCCCATGTCAGAGGTCAGGTTTCAGGTTTCTCAACTCGCGGTCGACCATGTGGCGGGGCGTGTATGATCGATTATCGATATTTCTTCATTTGTAGCTATGGTAAAGAATCGATTATTAAGGTGTTCGCTGCGAACACCCTGTCTATCGATCCTTTTCCATAGGTTTAAACGGCATAACAATCGATATATCGCAAACCACGCCACGCTACTGCGGTCGACCCAGCGCGCACCCAACAGCAACCAAATGCCCTAGAGCTTCCTTTGCTCTCGTCTCATGATGACTCACCGATCGGGCCGGAGATACGTGCCGACTCCTGTTTTTTTCGGCGAGGCAGTGTGGAGGAAAACAATCCAGGCTCAGTTGCCATCTGAGTTCTGTCCAGGCCTGTTGTCATCCAACGTGCGTCGCCGAAAGCTCGCATCGTAGGCCTAAACCTTCGGCAGTGTTAACAGTTCGAGAAATTCTGTAACCCTCTTCCAGTCCCTTGACCTCCGTTTCGGTTATGGCATCCGGCAATCCAAATTCCTATCTCATGAGGCCTGCTGTAGTCGCAGGCACTCAGTTGCCGACGAACGAGGACGTACTGAATGCAGTCTTATTCGATAGAAGAGTGTATCGAGGATATCCCAGCAGCGTTCGTGAAAGTGTTGAGGAAGTGGTGGACACGCTGCTGTCCATCTGGGACAAAGCGGGAATCCCTACGAGGGATCGGGCCAATTGTGTGCAGAAAGCCGAAACATTATACAACACTTGGCAGGAAATTCGGGATAAATTCTACCTGTTTCAAATGAATGAATTTGATAAACTTTTTGATATTTCGAGCGAGGATGCGCGCGCGAGGATCTCGGAAGCTGAACGTCGCCTGTTGACGATGAGGCGACCTTCTCTCACTTTGATTGAAGCGATTAACAATTGCAGCCTTGAGGATTGGCCGAACAGAAAACGAGAGGAAATCAACGGAAGTACGTATGAATTTGTCGTATAGATTAGAGTACCTATATTGAGAGAGCATGGCCACTGGTGTTACCACCTCTGATCGGCTCAGCCATCTTAGACTGAATGGAGCCCTTAGGACCCAAAAATGGCGGACACCATTAATTAATGTAATGCCAAATGACCCAAAATGTAGTTTTCTTTGCTTATCGTAACGAGAAATTTACCCAAATGCACTATTGCGACTTCTTTACATATTTTTAAGGCTAATCGTGTGCAATTTTTGAGAAAAATTATCTTAGATTGTAGTAAGGTTGGCAGCAAGTGCGGTTGGTGAAAACCGTCAATAGTTGGCAATGACCCCCCTCCCATCCACAAAAACCCAAACCGAGCACCGCCATTTTTGGGTCCATGGGGCCCAGTGGCCATACTCACTCAATATAGGTACTCTAGAGTCCCTTTATACTGAGAGTCAAGACAATTCAGCTCATGGATGTCACAAACGGGAATAAAGATTACAGAAATTGAACGTTTTTCGTAATCTTTGATCGGCCCATTCTCAAATGCCTTTCTCCGTTCCTCCTCTCATTCCGTTTGTTCCTTGCCGAACCCGTAATTCCCTGGTCCATTCTAGATTATAATCTTTGCAATCGGTGAAAATGTAATCTTTATTCCCGTTTGTGACACTGTGGAGGCCTAAAATACGGGAACCAATCAGAAATGGATTCAAATTGTCTTGACTCTCAGTATAAAGGGACTCTAAGGTACTCTAGTATAGATCGTATTCGATACGTCAAACGGGTGAGATAGTATCGATATAGATTGGTTCAAAACGTTTTGAACTAATGTTGTGTTATGTGTTTAACGTCATGTTTATGTTTCAACGTCATGTTTATGTTTCAACATAAAAATAGCCTCAAAAGTCAGTTGACGAGTGATCTGACGGAGCGGGTTTTCTGCGATAGGTTTTTGCTTCGTATGAATACTAATCGGCCTAGAGTAGATAACATATGATGAGGAAAGCATCTAAATTTGCAGTTTTAGTAAAAAAATTCATGTCCGACCTTTCCGATTGACTCGATCCACTGTGCGCCGTGTTAGATGGGATTAATCTGCCGTGCTTAGGAAAACGCCGTATGAACATTCGAGAGTTGCCAAATCTCCTGAGATATAATGCTTATTTTTGCGGAGAGTTATGAATATTTTTCCTTGATATTTTCATTAACTTTAGGTGAAATTGCGATCAAAATGGAGATGTCGCATGTGTAAGGGATTTGCGATTTGACCAATGATTCTTACGTAAAAGCTCGCGAGAAACACGATGGTGCCACTGGTTTTCTCTGAGATCAACTCCTAAGCTCAAAAAAAGCTCTCAAGGCCAAAATGGATGGGATATCCCACCCTACCCTGAGAGTCCACCTCTACATCAAAACAAACTCTCCATGCAAAGATAGGTAGCAAATACATTGGGAGGGTTGCCACTGGTTTGGCATTACATTGGCATACATTGGCAGGTGTCGGCCTCGTATGGTGTAGTGGTTGTAGCGCTTGCTCTATAATCGGGAGGTCCCGGGTTCGATTCCCGGCCAGGCGACCCGAGTTCGATGGTCTCAAACAATGGTTGCCTGGGGCTGGTTCAGTAGGGACGGAGGGGGGGACGGGACTTTAAGCGTGGGATTAGCCTTTGTGGGCTATTTGAAGTAGTAAAAAAAAAAAAAAAAAAAAAAAAAAAAAAAAAAAAAAAAAAAAAAAAAAAACTTTATTTGGGGACTCCAAAACTGAAAACACGGCATCACTGCTAATGTATTTGCTCCCTATCTTTGCATGGAGAGTTTGTCCTGATGTAGAGGTGGACTCTCAAGGAAGGGTGGGATATCCCCTCCATTTTGGCCTCAACTTGAGAGCTTTTTTTGAGCTCGGGAGATGATTTCAGAGGAAACCAGTGGCACCATTGTGTTTCTCGCGAGTTTTTATATAAGAATCCTTGGTCAAATCGCAAATCCCTCACACATGCAACATCTCCATTAGCTGAAAAATTGGAAGAAATACATTCTCAAGTTTACCAGGAAATTCGTGTTTTATCGAAGGAACTTTGGCGACGCCTGAAGGTTCATACGACGTTCTCCCCTAGCACGGCAGTATTCCGCGGCGAGGTCTTATGGCCCTTCGTCGGCGCGACCCAGCGGCCCGGATTTTGCCTGGATGGCTGCCGGGCAAACGAACCCGAACTTGAATGGAATCCGCGTCCTTGTGTCAACCCACCGCGTCCCTGGTATCAATAACACCCGCACGGGGCGGGGCGGGGACCGTCGCTGGATTCTCGAATCGCCATGACGAACTCCCGATTCGCGATAAGACGGTCCCCAGAAAACGCTGACTTCTGTTTTTTTCAGGGAGCCCGCTCTCAGTCGAAAAGAAGGCTCCTCGGAGGTCGTAGCCGTGTCCGCGCTGTATACCTATCTATCGCAATTCCGATTTCACTCATTTCGAACGAAATTCAACGCTGTTTTATCATGGCTCAGTGTCCATCTATGCCATTCGGTGCGGAACTTCCGTCAAAAAGAAGGGTCTTGGAAAGGTTCTTGTCTCACCTGCGCGACGGACATACCCTTCGCCAAAGCGCGGAGCGGACGGTAGATCACTTCGCGGCGTTGTGGAAAGAATCCCATGTGCGTACGGAAAGGGAAGAGCTTACTGTGCTCCAAGTGGAAAAGCTCTTCGAGGAGTGGTTGGGACTCTACGAGATGGCGGAGAAACACAGGAGGGAGGTCGAGGACCTCTCGATCGTGGCTCCAGAGCTTTCAGCGCGGAAAGTGCGGGAGTTGTTCGCTGAGATGCTAGCTATCCGATTGAAAGCAAATGTGTTTTTCAGGCGTTTGGACGATCTTTTCGATGTGGCTGAAGAAAGGAATTTCTACGGAAGTACGTATGGCTTTTTCGCTTTGTGTGGCTCAAAAATCAAATTCGCTGAAACTTAAGTTTTTGTGTCCTGTGTTTTGGCAGACTTAGTTTTCGGGACGAATCAACTTTTTTGGTATGATCAATGGTCATGCGTAGAGAATGACAGGAGACAGGTTGCAAAAGGAGGTATTTGATCGGGTTCCTCCTAGGAGAAGGCGCAGAGGGCGCGATGGGAGGTTGGAGGGATGGGGTTGAAGCAAGGTGCTCGGTGCCCGAGGGTTTGTGGTTTGACAGGGGGCAGTGCTGCCGTGCTAAGGAAAAATGCCCTACGAACATTCGAGAGTTGCCAAATTTCCTTCGAATAAATATTCATTTTTGAAGAAGGTTATGAATATTTTCCCGTTAAATTTTCAGAATCTTTAGGTGAAATGGAGATGTTGCATGTGTGAGGAATTTGCGATTTGACTATTAATTCTTATGTAAAAGTTCGCGAGAAACACGCCAGTGCCTCTGGCTTTCTCTGAAATCATCTCCCAAGCTCAAGAAAAGCTCTCAAGTTGAGGCCAAAATGGAGGGAATATCCCACCCTATCCTGGTCCACGTCTCCCTAAAGACAAACTCTCTATGCAAAGATAGGGTGCGAATACATTGACAGGGCTGCCACTTTATTTGGGGACTCCACAACTGAAAACACGGCAACCCTGCTAATGTATTTGCTCCCTATCTTTGCATGGAGAGTTTGTCTTGATGTAGAGGTAGACTCTCAGGATAGCGTGGGATATCTCCTCCATTTTGGCCTCAACTTCACAGAAAAAAATAGATGGTGCTGACGACAGAACCTTTTGTTCACATGGCTCCCGCAGTTTCTTTGTTACACTTACAGAATTTTTCTGTTGTGAGGACAGAACTTTGGTCGTGGGAACAGAGTATTCTGTCCTCATAACGGAAGCTTCAGTGACTGTAACAAAGAAACTGCGGGAGCCGTGTGAACAAAAGGTTCTGTCGTCAGCACCATCTATTTTTTTCTGTGTTGAGAGCTTTTTTTGAGCTTGGATGTTGATTTCAGAGAAAACCAGTGGCACCATCGTGTTTCTCGCGAACTTTTTCGTAAGAATTAATAGTCAAATCGCAAATCCCTCACACATGCAACATCTCCATTTTTGCGAGGGCACTCGGAACGCATCGCGGCATAGCCGAAGATCCACTCGGACGGAGACCGGGCGAATTTCCGGGGCGAAATTGGAGGAAAGGAAGAGGCAGGATCGGCGACCGCGGCTGGGACTTTCTCGCTCGATTTCACGCGCCGCGCCGCGCTCATTACGTGCGTGAGAACCGAGAAAATCGTAATCGCCGCGCCCGGGCTAATTATCCTCCCGCGTCCCGCTCCACCCCGCCGGATTTTCTTTTCTGCCCGCCATGAATGGGAGGAACCGCCGCGCCGTCCGACGCCCGCGCTCTCGTGTTAAGGATAAAACGCCGTATGAACATCCGAGAGTTGCCAAATTTCCCCCAATAAAAGCAGGATTGCCACAGTCAGCAGGGTGTCTACAAGTCCGGATGGACCGGAAATAGTACTGATTTTTTAAGGGCGGTTCGGAAGTATTGAAAAAGTGCGGAAATTTCGCGAGGAGGTCCTGAATTTTTTTGATTTCTCTGTTATTTTTTGTCGCAATTTGAGCGGGAAATTCAAATTCCTGAAATTTTTCGAAGTTCGTCTATGGGAGGTACTGAAAAATCGGGAGAAAAATATCCGCAAGTTTTCCAGGAAATCCGCACTTTATTGAAGGCAACTTGGCAACGCCTAATGGCTCGTACGACGTTTTTCCTTAGCACGGAAGCGTCATCCGTCGCGGTCGACTCTGACGAGTTCCGTGTCGAGACCTTGTCTCTCTTGTGCTGGTATCGCGGGAGAATTTCGCGAATTTTATGGAGATCGGCACTGTCATGCTGCAGCCCCCCCCCCTCTCCGTTTTTTACTCAATTATTCTCTGAGGATGTAAGGCAAATAGTGGTGGCAACCTAGCTGCAAAACGGCCCATTCCCGCAATCGATTCGATGAGCGGACAGCAGGCTCAGCAGGCCAATTGTTGAAACTGATAGACGAAACGATGGACAAAGATGCGACGTAGGGAGTGTGGAGCGATCCGATTGGTTGAAACAGATGGTTCCTATAGACGAAGGGATAAAATTATGGATTATCCATAGGGTCTCTCGTGGACCTACCTTCTTTGTCCATTGAAAGCACCTTCTTCCCCCAATAGGATCTCTCCATATCGACGGTGAAAGTCGGCAATCACCTAACTCGTTTGCGGTGTCGGAAAATCTCCGCCTCTACGTAATTTTTTTAAAGGAGAACAAATTGACATTATCTCTTGAAGTTTTTGCAGAATTTTCTTCGCATTGAGAAAATAAATCATGACAGTTTTAAAGAATTGCCGTTGAGTAGTTTTCCATTTAAAAAATAAAGTATGACAGGAAGTCTGCGACGTCGCAAACCGAGTTATGTGATTGCCGACTTACACCGTCGATATCCCTTTCGTCTTTATTGTGTATAGCTTTGTCTATCAATTTCAACAATCAACCCGCAGAAGCAGTTTCCTGTGAAGCATCCTCATGGGGAGATTGTAGACGTATTCAGGGCTTTCGGCGGTCTGAAAATACTGGAATGTTAGGGAATTTTGAGAGCAGCTTTTAGCGGAAGTCAGTAAAAATACCAGGAAAAAAAAATTCGAAGTAAAAAAACTGAAGTAATCGCCGCAGAAAAGTTGCTAAGGGAGTTAAAGCGGATTTCCCTGTTTATGGAAATTATGTTCGAGGGCCAGAGAACGTCAGGAAATTCACAACTTTTAGAGTCCAGGAAAGTTAGGGAATCGGAAAATTAAGAAATTATGAAAACTCTGCGTATTATTTTGTCACTCAGCTGACATAAGAGCGTAACTACACGTTGAGATGAGCCTGAGAAAGCATTGAGTCATATGGGCGACAGGGTTCATCGCGAAGTAGACATACGTCCTTTATTTCAAGCGGTTGGCGATTTGATGGCGGTCTCTTTTCAGTGCCAGTGGACTGCTACTCAATTGTTTTTTATGTACCCTCTTTACAATTGCAAACGGAAGTTCAAAACCAATAATCGAAAGCAAGTAATATGTAGAAGTAATAATACTGAACGCACGGTGACCCTCGCCCTTCACCGATTCCGGGTAACTTTAATTTGAGACCCCTAATTATGTCAGTTGCATCATCATAAATTTTACGCAATTGTGATATAGCTTGAACCGTAAGCTCGAACATTGATGCTTCGCGCCAAAATTTATCACAGTTCATCGTCTCTTAATCGCCCTCAAAAATTATCAGTAATCGATGAAGCCTCCTATTTCGCGCCAAAATTTGTCTCTCTGTATAATCTAATCATCCGTAAAAAAAAATTATCAGCATGTGGCATTCACGGAGGTATCAATCGCATCAGCATGCCTTTCAAATATTTTACTGTCTCTACTTCGAATTTCACGTTCCCTCTTTTTATTTATCGTCGCTCAGACAGGGTCATTTTATCACGGGGTGAATTTTTTGGTTGAAGTAATTATCCTTCAGTCCATCACATAATGCTGAAAAGCGTACCTTTCCTGAGCTTTCAGTGACTTTAGATTGCTTACCTGTTAATTATTGCATGTCCCTTTTTCAGGAGACAAAAAATTATTAATAACAGATTTTTGGATTTAGCCGTGCGAGGTGTTATCTATCTAGTATTAAAAACATACTAAATTCAAAAAATTATCACTCGAAGGAAGAAGAGATCGTCACTAGCAGAAACTTTTAATGTTGGCCGAAATTCCTCGCATTGATAATGAAATTCGCAAAATCCGCATCTCGCTTTGAGACGTTGCCGCTTCTTTGCTACTTTTAATTTTTACAAAAGAAAGACTTCGAACAATAATATTTTTTGGGATCAGTAACATTGACTCATCCTCATTCTAAGCAGAATGGCTTGCGAATTTCGAGCAGTATCTATAGTTTGCCCAAGTTTTTTTTTTCTTCCTCGTTATAACAGAAAAACTGCAGAAATTTTGAAAAGTCTCAACCGAGGTGCGAATTCACCGACTCCCGCGATCGATATTTTTTCGCCATGCGATCAAAGTAGGACCTCCGAACAGAGGGGTGTCGAGTACCTTTAAACTGCCATGCAAAGGACAAAAGCCGCATGAACAAAGCACCGATTCCCTCCGATTAAATATTTATTTTTAAGGAAAGTAATGAAAAGTTCTGGAAGGAAATTTTCATATATCTTAGTTCAAATCGCGAATAAAATTCGTGGAATAATTGGACTGCAATTTGCAATTTGGAACTATAAATTCTGGCTCTTCTGGAATAACACTTATGTGCATAGGGATACAAATGGGACATACGTTGTTTTAAAACCGGGCCGGGATTTATAGTTCCAAATTGCAAAATGTAGTCCAATTGAAAGACAAGCGTTCTCAAGTTTCTCTGTAAATTCGTACGATAGAATCGAGGGAAACTTGGCAACGTCTAAAGGCTTATACGTCGTTCTTCTCAAAGCATAATTGTGTTGGAAAAGTATGGTTATTGTGGAATCCATCTCCGATTGGCCCACCGATCCCTCGACTCGATCTTAGGATCCCAAGTTCGCGCCGTACTACATCAGTCGAAAACCGTGTGGTGAACGCGCAGTGCGTGAAGTATTCTTGTAGTCTTGTAGGCGCTAATATGCGTTTTGAGCGTTCACCGCGTTAGTAGTGTACGACTGTACGCTCTTTCCCGTCGTTTTGCAGCGGGTATGTTACCAATAGATCCATTAATAAAGGCCCGCACTGCTCCATGGGAATCGGCGCCATTTTTCGTGGCGGGGAGCAATACCTAGTTTCTCAATTTTGTTTAAATGTACCATTTCTACCTTTTTTCTCCTCTTTTGTCCACATTTTTTTGATCGATAATACTTTTTAGAGTTAAATTCAACCTTGAAAGTGGTGTTAATACTTGATATAGGGTTATCCTCATCCTAAATCAAGTATTGGCACCACTTTCATGATTGTATCAACTCTTGAAAAGTAGTATCGAAATAAAAAAAACTGGAAGCTGAAAAAATGGACTTCAGCGGTTTTCGCACGACGCAACTCAATTCAGATCTGCGTATTACGCATGCCTCTCGATTCGCGAAGTGTAACGCATGAACAGTGGCGATTCTTGTTAGTTGACAACACTGGAGTTTCTTCATTTAAATGCATGTAAAACAGTCGATTCTTGGCAAGGCAGCTTGCTTCACGCACAATCGATATTTTTAATGGATTTAAATGGAGGGAAAACAGTGTCACCAACTTTATACTTTAATGGATTTGAATGGAGGAAAAACAGTGTTGCCAATTTGTAAGAATCGCCTCTGCGATAAAAAATGTCGGTAAGAACTTACTCTTGAATGGACCGGGAGGGAGGGGGGGGGGGGTGTTTTTCACTCCACCAAGAGGAACAATAATTACTCAGCTGGTAGACCGATTGAGATTCAAGGAGCAGGATTTGAAACGATTTTAACAATAGGACGTTTAATGATGGTTTTTCAGGCATGCCCTGTCTTGCCTCCATAGGTGAACGAACACGAGAAGCTGATTTCTCTTTCTCCTCTGACGTAAGAGCGTAGCGTATCTCAATATCTACGTGAGCCCTGTTCTCCGTATAACTCTATGCTTTTCGAAGCTCATGTGGAAATGGGGATACGCCCTCGCCCTTACGTCGGATGAGCGACGATGTTTGAAGTGTAACCCGTGGGAAAGTCAAGGCTTCGCGGTTGTTACAAAATTCAATGGATCAATATTTAATCCTTTTTTTTCGAAATTTCTCGAAATTTTTTCAAGAATCTCGAAAATAGAGTACCTATATAGGGAGAGTGGACATGTCGAAAATTTTGAGGTCAGGTGATGGAGCTCTTAGACTCCAAAAGGGTAGTCAATCTATGAATTCAAATTATCTAGAGTGATTTATAATCACAATTGTTGGCAACTGTCGTTGGTAAAGCACGTATTTGACTTGGTTTTTGCATTAACTTACTCATTTTTGCGGAAGAATACTTGCGTATGAATTTTCTTGTCCATTTTCGTTTGATATTAGAGTCTAAAGATTGACAGTGACATTTTTCGTTTTCAAAGGTTACCTACCCTTTTGGGCCCTAAGAGCTACGTAATTCGAGTTGTCCGTACTCTCCCTATGTAGGTACTCTACTCGAAAACCAATATCATTTCATCACTGGAAATTCAAGGAAATGATTCGTTTTTTCGCCTCTCTACAGAATGAATATACATATAACACCTACGCACAGGATTGACGAATAGTGCTGGGTCCCTACTATTCCTGGGGGACCTACCTCAAGGCAAAAAAATGTCTTTAAATTTTCACTAGATTGAAGAATTTGAATTGTAGTCTTTAATCTCTAAACTATAAATATGAATTTACTAACATCCTGTTATTTTTAGTTCGGGTCACATTTTTGTGTGTTTTTTCATTGTGTTCTCATCAATTCAAATTCAATGTTTTGTTTTGTTTCAGTTGATGTCAAAGTCGAAGAGAAGAAAGGTGGAATCAAGTTTGAGCTGATCGAAAGTCCTGCCAACACCCCGCCACCAAAAACCAAAAGTTCCTCTCCAACCAGAACTATTTCTTCCGAAAACATCGATGAGAAACTAAAGGCTGCTGCAGAAAGGAGACTGGTAAGCTGCAGTGTATATTTTACTTCAAGTATTTCTCTTTTCACCCAGAAACGGGCAGACTTAGTTGTATTTTTGATAATTTTTCCTAAATTTTCCTTTTTCACGGAATCATGGCTTCTCATATTCTCACGAAAAATTAAAGGGAATTTCCCATGAATTTAGCCAAAGTAAAATAAATTCCATGGAATCGTTTCTCTTATTTTTTTCTTAAAATTATTTAGGACGTAAAATCGTTCAATGCGCCACCAATTATGTACGAAATCTTGTAATCTGAGCATCTTTTTAAAGCTTTTGCATTGTTTCGCGAAGAATGACTCCATTTTTCCAAATTTGTGGCAAGTGTTTCTCATTGAAAAATCTCAAATTCAACAAAAATCTAGTTTGTCAGGCACACATGACTCACGGTAAGACTGTAACACTTTTCATGGCCCAATTTCAGACTTTCATTTTTAAATCAATCAAATTCTGTCAATGGGTTTGTTTTTCACTCTCTTTCTAACCAGCTTCAGTTTTTTTTAATTAGCTAGAATATCTTTGAGTCTCGCTTCTGAATCGCAGATTTTTTTAAGGAGCTTCCAATAATGGTATTTGGACTGCTCTGGCCAGTTGGCGCCTAAAAGGTTGCACCTTTCCATTGGAGAAAGAGTATCGGGCGTGGTCTGGCCACGATTTAGAAGTCGAGTACTGCGGCAAGGAGCTTCTTACAAGGCCGGGGAAATGTTACAAATTTGGTATTGCCACAATGGACCACTAGACAAGGTACAAATTTAAGCATTCTGATACATGCTTTATAACCAGAATTTAATGTAGAACACGATTCGTGCAACGGAAATGACTGAAATTGACTCCTAACCAAAATATTTAATGTCTCTTGGCGCATGAATTCAAACCTCCCGCTCGTGAAGACACAGTGGTCTATGTGAATCAGATCGCAAACTAAACGTTTCCATAGCAGTCTCTGCGAAACGAAAATTTTGTGATCTCAATGGACCACTAGACAAGGTACGAATTTCAGCATTCTGATACATGTTTCTTAACCAAAATTTCACGTAGAATACGATGTGTGCAACAAAATTTACCGAAATCAACTCCTGACGAAGATATTTAATGATTCTTCGTGCGTGAATTCAAACCATCCGCTTATGCAAACTCAATGGTCTACGTGATTCACATCGCGCGCTTATCTTTATCATGATAGTCTCTGCAATATAAAAATCTGGCAACCTCGATCTTGACGCTTCGGCTCAGCTATAGCAAATTGCGTATAGTTTGAACAACACATGGTGGGAAATGAACATTACTCGATTGAGATGCTTCCTGAAACCGTTGTAGAGCGCGATTTGACTCACGTAAAGCTTTGAGTTTCTTGTGAGCGGGCAGTTCAAATTCCTCGCAACCAATGTGAAATAAAAACGTTAATATCTCCGTAATGAGTTGGTTTCAGTGATTTTCGCTGCGCGAATCGTGTTTTACGTAAAATTCTGCTCAAGAAACATGTATCAGAATACTTAAAATCATAGCTTGTCTAGTGGTCCATTGTGACGTTTTGGCTCAGCCATAGCAAATTGTTTACACTTTGAACAATAAAGGATTGGATATGATAAATGTTAGATGAAGAAGCCTGCCAAAACCGTCGTAGTGCGCGATTTGACTTCCGTAGAGTATTGTTTCTTGTGACCGTGCACTTCAAATTTTCCGAAACCATTGTAAAATTAAAACGTTAATATATTGGTTAGGAGTTGATTTCGGTAATTTTTTATGCAAGAAACATGTTTTATGTGAAATTTTGCATACAAGACATGCATCAGAATGCTTGAATTTGCACTATGTCTAGTGGTCCATTTTATCTTCAGCCCAGTAATCTGTTTTTTTTTTTTAATTTAGTCCTTAGAAGCTAAGAAGATAGAGCAGCTGAGTAACCAACTATCAAAAATCGAACACGCCATGAAGAAGAGGGACGAAATATCGAAGGAGTTCAGCGTACGTTCCAAGAAAGTCCTGGAGGAAAAGATGGAGCAGTACTCAGAAAAGAAAGAAGCACACATCTCAGAAGTCCTTTGTAAATTGAAAAAACAAGTATGTACACAGGTGTACAGTTTTTACATCGATTCATTTGCCTGACTTTTACTTCTGACTTGACAGCGATCCACGCCCACTTTTAATTTGAAAGGCTTAAATTTTGCTCCTACATGCTTGTTTAGATTTTTTGCCGCTGTGTTTTCCTGCTAAGGAACCAAACATCCTGAGTAGTCTAAACAGGGTGTTCACTATCCGTAGAAACCGGAAAATCCGGAGAATATTAGGAAATTCTCTTTCATTAGGATAAAGTAAAATATTAGGAAAATCGGCCTTGGATCAGGAAATTGTAAGTGCATCAAGCATTTTTCAACTACATGCGCTTCGGGACATGCAAAAGTGAAACATTGGACTCAGTTCATTAAATATGTTGGCTCGTAAAAACAAATGTGAGTCAATTTATTTGCACAAAAAATCCGGAAATTTCATTTGAAATATCAGGAAAATCCGAATTGAAATTTTGGTAGATGTTCTGCTTTCTTCTGTAGGAATTTGATAACAATAAATTATAAGAAAAAGTTGTTCAATACAGTACGTTCTCTCTGTAAGGAGAACTCAAGAGACCAGCGTCTTCCCTCATCATAGAGAGATTCTCGTTAAAACAATAGTCAATATTTAATGTAGGAAGTTAAAGGAACCGACCGATTTCCTTGTTACGGAGAGATTCTCGTTATTATGATAATCGTTACTGAGAGAAAGTATTGTATTTAACAATTGAGTGTAATAATATTGTAAAATCTTCTTTTAAAATGATGGTTTTCAATTTGATGATAATTAATTGCAATGCATTAGCTATTTAGTGTTCCTTAATTTGGCTATGAAACAATCTTACTTAATAGAATAAACAATAATTTAGCATCAATAGGCTGATTTCTACAAGGAAACGTTTTGGAGGACGTGTATGCTCACGCTCTGTTTTCAAGACAAAGGAAGTAGTTTTTCTTTCATATATTAAATAAAACTTTAGAAAATTGCAATAAAAAACTTCATTCGGTCCTACTTTCGTTGGTGCGCTTCAGGTGAAGGTAACCAGAAGCAGCAAGTTTTAAAAATGTTAGCGGAAATGCTATTAACTCTCTCCAGAGCATAATTTCTGGAAGAAGTGTAACATCAAGAGATGCAATAGTCTCCATAATCGTATATTGTAGAAATATTTGGGAAGTAAATTGATAGAGTTCAGTTTATCAATTTGTAAATTATCTGCTGTTCATGAAAAACAGAATTTAACTTTCAATGCTCTGAACTACCGCAGCCTGTTCAATTTAATCTTGCTAACCTTTGCTTTGCATTAAAATGTTATCTTTACTACTAATATAGCTTCAAAAACCTCAGCAGTAGTATTAATACATTAATGTACTACCAGGAAAGCCTTGTCGCCAAAGAACTGTAAATTGAATTATTCGTAGCATTATCTGTGAGGGTGTTTTATTGGGTAAGATTCTGGTTTAAGAAGTGCGATAATGTCAAACGAAATCGAAGTTGTGAGATTTTGAAGTTCAAAATTTGGAATCATAGTTTTGAGAGGAAGTCATTCAAAGCTCTCAACTGTCATTTTTGAGGCTTTTGACTTTCTCCTTGAATTGTAACTGTACGCCCTATATTTGCGCAAAAATAAATGAAACTGCTAACAACTTTTTTCTAATGCTAGCAGGGAATGAATTTTGTAAAAATCTCAAATACTGATTACTTGACTTAATATCTGTATCGATAATTTTGCCTTTTTGATTTTAGACACTTGCGATTTTTTGTTCCGTTTCTTCCATTGAAGTTATTCTCAAGATAAGAAAGGATGATATGATGCACACTCACTAGATTTTATCGCTTTTTTCATTTTGCCAAAGCACAATTTTATCTCTTGCTTTTGATATTGTTCACGCGTTTTGTGCTGTTTTCTTTTCAATTTTTGCTCAAACTTCTTTTAATTTTCATTGCTTGTTTTTTTTAATTTTTTAATCAGTTTGAAAACGGAGAGAAAACCCGCCAGAGCTTGGAAAGTGCCCTTGAAGAAATTAAAGAGAACACGAATCTGAAACTTTTACAAGCCTCAAAAAAGAGAGAGAGCCAAATTCAAGAGTTAACCAAAAGGCTGAAAGAACATGTAAGTGGGTCTTCAAAATTCTAATATTAGATATCCTCCTGTCTAAAACAGCAGGAATTTCTTAGTTACAGGCATGAAAGGCTCTGCTTATAGTACTGAAATCAGGTGAACCAGAAATGGCTAAAAATAGAATTTTCTCAATACGCAATCCTTGAAAATTATTTTGCAATCACGTATAAAAGAATTTTTCATGTTGATGAGCAGTGGGTTACTTCCAACTAGCACGAACTAGGAAACACTGAAGCAGTCTGAAATGTCTCTTGATGGAGCCTAGTAGACCCTCAGTTGTTTATTGGCGGAGAGAGAATGAAGGGAAATAATCTTTGGTACTGACCCAAAGTCCTTACTATTCACCATACCAAAATGGCAGCCAACTGAAATCTTGAAAACTTCAACATAGAAGGCTGCCATTTTGAATTGGCGCAAAATAAAAATCTACAATCTGAACTGAAAAATATCTTTGTTGATCTCCTTTCTTGTCATTCATCCATTTACAGGTTTAAGTAAGATTAGGGAGCAGATATTCCGGAATGTGACATATTCCTAGGAACTGAGTTTATTTAAACCAAGAGTTTTAAGAAAGACCCAAAGGCATTACTGTAGAACTGATTATTACATTTAGATAAGGATGGAGATGTAGGTGTAATATGTCTGGAGTTTTCAAAACAAATAGTTCGTCGAAACCACTGAAGAGACTACTAAAAAGCACAGCCAGTTGTTGCTTTATAACTCTCCATCAGAGATATTTTCTTCTAGTAAGATCTAAGGAACACCCATGGACACTTAGAACACAAGAAATATGTATCAGAATGCTGAAATTCGCACCTTGTATAAAGATCCATTTAGATGTGTTCTGTTCGTTGCATTATTCCGGCTCCCAACGTATATATTCTTCCCCTCAGTAAATTCATTGAAATGGAGCAATGCATTTCCAACTTGAAACCCTGTATTATATAATAGCTGACAAACTTCCATCTCCCTTTTGTTGATAATTTTTGACATGTTTTCAATTTTTTAGCCTTTTTAAATTTTAATTTGCTAAATTCACTTGCTTACACGCACAGCTTTTATCTTGCTTTCTGCACGTTGTTTTCTTTCAATTACCTAGGACGAGCATGCCAAAAGTGTATATAATGCCTTAAAAGAGAAACAAGAGGAACTGAAACAGCGAATCCTAACGAAAGAAGAAGAGGCTGCTTTACGCAAAGAACAGAAGATCAAAGAAAAGCTTGAAAAACTGAAGGAGGTAAACAAGATTTCCCTTAATTTTCTTCCAGTTTTTTTTTTAAATCATGAACCTCGAGGGTGAGATAAAACTAATTCTCCTCAAGAATCTTGAAAAATCGGGCCTTGAATGACAATGACCGTGAAAAATAGAATGACATCATATTGGATGTCTTGACCTAACAGCTTATCTGGTATGGTCATGTGAACAGGATGACGAAATAAGGGCTGCCATGGATTATGCTTGATTGGGTTCCTCCTGGGAAGAGACCAAGAGACGCCCAGTGAAAGGGTGATCATGGAGATTTTAAATGAAGTAAGCGAGTGGCAACTCCCTGAAGGGCTGCGCGGATAGAGAATTGTGGTAGTTAGGTGTCACAAAGCACTGGATAAGTGGCTTCTATGTATACGTATGTTTTTGTTTTGTCTCTCTCTTGATTGGTAGTTAGCTAAAGATCTGATGTTTTGAAATTAATTGTTGGCTTGGGAAATAGTCCAATCTAGTCTCCATGTTCTTCTAAATTTAATTTCAACCCCGTTTCAGGATCATTGATCTACAACAGATTCTTGTTTTAGTGGCGCCTGTTTTGGTAGCTTTAACGCGTTTGTTTATGAAAAAGATGCCTCAGTTTTCTGAATAGCTTCAATGTCTTGTGTGCACCTAAGCATTAGAACTAACTCAGAAGCATTTTTATAACCGTCCTCAAGCCCGGTTGATTTTGTGCTGTACAATTACTGCTTCAATACGCTACTAAACATCTCGTTCTTCTTTGTTTGTTGAATGTATTACTGCTCAGTTCAAATTTTTTATTCAATATTTTTTACTGTTTAGTTTAGTAGTGTTTCCAATAGACTGAAAGTGTTTCTGTTGTTCTTAGACCTTTGAAGTTTGTTAAAAATGGAACTCTTGATGGGGTAAGAGTTCAAGCTGATTTAACCGCAAGATGTGGTGCTCTACGAAAAGTAGAATACTATTTATTTTTGAAGTTTTTCATCACTTGGCAGCAAGAGATTATGATCCGATAATTCAAACTTCCCTGCACAACAAAACCAAAGTCACTGTACGCCTATTTGTCTATCGAAAAGAAACTAGTTTGTCTAATAAGAATGAAAAGTTTTGTTTTGCTAGAATCCATTGCAGTATTTGAAACTCAGTCTGTCTTAAATCGTCAGAAAAATTCAGCACAGTGCTAAAAACATTTGGTATTAAAGTACACTGAAATTAAGTTTGCAATGGCTACAACCTTAGTAGTTGATATTTTGTTCGCAAGAAGTTTAAAGTGACCAGCACAGAAAACCTACATTTTTCTCTTGCGAGTCAAACGACTTTGATGTGTCTGTCAAGTGTGTATTAATTTTTTTTAACGTAACTTATTTTTATTTTTAATTTCAGAAAGACAATCGGTCAGAGAAAGTGCGCCAAAACAAGACCTCTGAATCATGCACAGAAAACGGAACGGAATCTCCAGCCTCTGGTTGACTTATCACCTCTCTTGCTTCGCTCAGGTCAGCCTGACCTGCTCAGGTAGCTTCTAACCCAGCAAAATGTTTTCCTATTTTTATTTTTGTTTAATGGTTTAATAACTTTTATTCAATGGTTCCTTAGCCTTAATACTCAGCCTTAATACTCTTCATTCAAATTTTCATATGGCTAGTTTTTCATTTTTCAACATTTTTCAACCCATGACCTTTCAAAACTCCTCAAATGGTGTTGTGTTTTTTATAATATTTTTCATTTTTTCCATACGGCTAGTTTTTCATTTTTCAAAATTTTTCAACTAATGACTTTTCAAAACTCCTCGCATGGTGTTTTGCTTTTTAATGATTGTCGTTTTGAACTCAGTGTTTATTTTTCTTCTCCAGCTCGAACTGTAATTCAATTGTAACTCACATTGTATTTGCAACTCCAATTGTAATTTTTAATACTCTTAATTTAAATCTTTAAATGATCATTTCTTAATTTTTCAAAATTTTTGAACCATCGAATCCTTTTTAACCTCTTGAAGTTCCTCTCATGGTCTTATGCTTTTTAATGATCGTCGTCCTAAACTTGGCGTTTTTATTTTCTTCAGCTCAAACATTAATTGTAAATTTGTTGCCTTCATATTGCCTAGTGTTTTAGCTTTTGTACAAGCCGTAATTATGAGACTGGCTTATTTTTTTATTTTTGTACTTTCCATAAAATCAAATCATTTCTCTTAAGCTTACATTTTTTACATTCCTTGCGTTTTCTTCTAAAATTCAGTTTTTGAACATAATCAATTAGTTTTAATGTTGATGGCAAAACGCTTAATAACTCACTTTTTTATCTGTAAACGTACTTATCACTGTTCAGCATTTTTAGTAATAAATTTATTGTAAAAAGTGATTTTTGTTCTCTGAATTCATCATTCAAAAACCCAAAATAAAATTGAGTCCAAGGAATCGTAATCCAATTATTCTATAATATTAACAACTGAAAAAAGTTACTCCTTTTTTGCCAATTGGGAGTTTTCTTCAATGAAGTGAGTCATGTGCCTCTCAATATTAAGTCTGCAAATATTAAGATAAACCTTGGAAAACTAACTTTTTTCATTTGACTGAAGTAAACTAATATATTTTGCTTTTACTTCCATCTTAAAAGACTGTGCATTGCAAAGCACATTCTCAAGGAGCATTTTCAAGCCTGGATCTCTTCTTAAGTGAAAGAATGTCAGAAAATTTTTGGTATGAAACATGTAAAGTAATGAAATTCTAAAATTCCAATATTTTGTCACCTTTTTTTGTCTTATTGCCAAAGCATGAAATTTTTGATTGATGGTCCAAGACTCAATGTGAAATCTGGTATCATGTCAGAGAATTGTAAAAACCATGTACGTAATGATTCAATACAGTTCTGATTCAGGGGTTGGTGAAAGAGTAGAGCTCAAAGTTCAAAAAATACTCGGCAAAGTTTATTTTTACAAGTGCGATTGCAGAGAATTACAGATCAGCAGAATCGCCCTCGAGAATGATTCCAGGCGCCAGCTCGACTCTATCACGGCGCGAAGAGCTGTTGTTGTAATGACGTATGGAAGAGCGTTTCCTCGGAACCGGTTTGTAGCCGGCCGGCTCGTAGCCCCGTTGATTCGAGTTGAAGTTGCTGTTCGCACCGGTGTTGGAGTAGTTGTAAGTTGTTGACTCGTTGTTGTAGTTTCGTCGGAGAGAAGCGCGATTGTGATTTGTTTTCCTCAGCATAGCCTGGCACAAAAAATTATTTCATAGGTTGGATTTTTTCTTACTTGGAAGGAAAACTCAGATGTTCTCTTAAGAAAATTAGCAATTCCTTAGCTGTCCTGAATTTTTATCAGAAAGTTTCTGAGCTTGTGATGTTTTAATTTTTTAATCACTTCAAATCATGGTATTGTTTCTCTGATGAAACCATTTAACAGTTTAAAATCCACATAAAATAAATAACAGGAGCTCAGAAGGTTCAAAGTTTTTCCCTCGATTAAAGATTGAAAATTGAGGTTACTTCCTCCCCTTCTCACTATGAGGATATCCAAAGAAGAGAGAACAGGCAGGCAAGAATCTGGAATTTTTCGCCCCATAAACAGTTATTGACATTGTAACAATTATGTTGAAAAATCTGACATCTTTCACCCATTTTTCCCGGGATGTTGGCCGGATGAAGAATAGTGTTCTGCATGCCCCGAAAAATTAAGGTGTCAGTTAGGCCGAAAAACCCCATTTTTAGAAGCCAAATTAAATTTTTGCGTTTGCATCACAAGCTACTGCTGTTTTGCGATTGCATGTTTGAAGAAATCGGCAGGTTGCATCAGCTTTTTAGGGGTATCAATGGCTGAGCCCCCCCATTTTTAGTCGCCGAAGCCCAATTTTCAGGTGTACGTTGCCCGAGGAAGGCAGAATACTGATGAAGTTTCCATATCCATGAGATAATTTAGGTTGAGGTTGAGCGAAGGACTTATCTATTTCCTCTCCTGCAGAAAAAGTATTAGTCATACCGGATGGCTGATTGTTTGTCACAGTCGATTGTCAAATTTACCTGAAAGTTGAAAGGCGGGTCATCTGCTTCATCATCTGCATTGTTGTTGGATTGCACCTGGCCTCTTGTTTTCATCTCAAGGATGTGGTCGTAATCTTTTTTCATCCCGTTCGTCTTGTATTTGTCTCCCCTGAAATATCAGACAAATTGGAGATAAGTGAAATAGGTCTCATACGAGTCAATTTATCTTAAGCAAGCTAACATGTTTCAAGATCTGGCTGCTATTATCTTTAGTAAAAATACATATGATGTGACAAATATTTACAAAGATAACAAAATCTTTAATATGTCAATGGTTAAAGTTGGGATTGTGTATCTCAGATTGCAACATTGTGAGTCTCCCCAAATACTTCATCTTTTAATCAATAAATAATCAATTGTCTCTATTGAAACAATTAATTGATGAACTATTGAAATTCTCTGTGAAATTTCTTCACGTGTTCTGATAAAATCACAACAAATTGCACGAGAACATTTGATTTGTTTCCCCTAAATATCATGAAACACGATGGGAGTCTCAAACGTCACAATGGAGTTATGCATTTGTAGCCATCGACATAACTTAAATAAGAGTTTTTTAGCATTTAAACTTCTACCACATCATCAGGTTTCTCTGTGTATTTACCTGCAGTCAGTTTTTATTTCACTAACCTGTAATCATCGTTGGCTCTATTGTGATAATTATGATGTGACTCGCTTTCACCCGAGTTCTGACGGTAATCATTGGATGTGTAATTGTTCCGTTGGTAGTTAGGAGGGGCTGGTGCACGACGTTTGGTACTTGTTCGACTGGAGGGTCGTTCTCTGGTCCTTGGCGGTGGGGCAGATTCCTGTCCACAAATTGAATTAATTTCATGGCCATGACTAAATTTTTCGACTGTTAATATCTTAAAAAAGCACATCGAAATTGGTATTTTCAAAATAATAGGTATCGTCGATGGGCTTGGAAAATGATGGAAGGTTTGCCAGAGGTTGTGACTCTTCAAAAACTCCTCAAGTATCATTAAACTGTAGGAAATAGTTCAAATATTCCCAAAAGTTCCTCATTTTGCCAAATTTCTCACTGTCACTTCATCCAGAAACAGTAGGATGAGCCCTCCTTTTGTTGCTGTGGGGAGTCTCCAAATATTGAAAAGCAATTGATTGCAGAGAATGAAAATACCGGAGGAATATGTCTCAACTTTTAAGATATTCTCAAAAGTGTTTAAGTTCTATTCGAATCGACGTATGCGAAAACGTCCAATGTCCAAGACAGTGTTTCAGAATTTGAGTTGGACAATCTCGTTGTAACTCAACGACACAAGATGGTTTAAGACGGTAGGAATGTAGAACAGTTTTATAAATAATCCCCTAAGTGTAATTAAACGTTTATGAAAGAGATCGATCCTATCCATCAGTTTCGTGGGACAAAAGAAACCCACCGCAATTATGAAACCCTGTATTGGACAACGGACGTTTTCACATACGTTGATTCATTTGTTCTTGCAAGTCCTGAACATTTTGTTCGGAAATCTTTGAAAGATCCACGAGAGTCCATTATTTTTGCTGATTAGAACTCCTGAGCAATCCCTTCCTGGAGGTCTATCCACTTTCTCGGATGTACAAACCTGTCTGTAGATCTGATCAGCGTAGACACTTCGAACTTTCCATGGGTCGCGGCAGTATGGAGTTTCAATAAAGTTCACCTCCTCAGGTGTAACTTCTCTTTCGTTCTTCCACTCGCTCGAACCAGTCTGAACTTCCTGATCTGAAATCAGTGAGACTGAATTGATAAGAGGGTTTGAATGTTCCCCGTTTAAGGGAAGTGTTAGTTATTTAAAAAGGAGTAGCGACAGGTCTGTGGGAAATTTCAAAAGAGAGCTCAAAAGAAATCAATCGAAGGCATTCTAGTCTCCAATTAGATTCTTCTCTTTGAAATGCAAATATTTCAGTTAAATAGGCTGTAACCCATCTTAAATAGAATAAAATGTCTTTTTTTATGGACAGTCAGATTTATTTTAGATGTTGGTCAAGGAATAGGACATGGAAAAAGAACTAAAAAGTTTACCTTTGTAAAGATATCCTGACATACTCTCAAAACCATGACCTCTGCGCAGAGGGATATCCCAGGATTCGTCATCCCCAAATTGTGACCTACGAATAAAATAATACTTTATCAAAACTTACTAGCATTCATTGGTTTCCAAAGGGATACAAGGGTTTTTTACAGTGTCCTAATTTCATCAGACATCATTCTCCCAGTGCGCTGTAGCACAAGGCTAAAGTTGGCACCAACAACTTTTATAGCTCTGATTTTTCGTACATCTCTGCTCCTCGTAAGATTTTCATTTTTATAGTAAAAGAGGCTGTGACGCCCAATACCCAGGCCTCCAAGCCAAATCTCTCCATCTACTTGGGGTGAAATTAGGCTACTTTTGGTTTGGAGAATTTATTTTACAAATTTGTAAAACTTTCTTTGTGGAGGCATAGTTGTAAGTGTAAAAACCAAAGGATTTCTTACCCTTTGGGTGCAAGAGGATCGCTCATGGCATAGTTGTCGAGGAATGGAAGGTCTCTCAATCGGAATGGCAGTTTTAAAACGGCAGGTTTATGAGGACCAAGCATCTTGACTGGATTTACTCCTTCCTTAATATGATCCAGCTTGACAACTTCTTTCATATCAATTAACAGAGTCCCCACTGTGTTATTGTTGTATAAATGTACCTATTAGAAAGCAACAAAGACATGTGGTTTAAATTATCTCACATTGCAGTAATTTTGACTGCATAGAAAATCATTCTCCACTATGAAGGTGTTCCAGAAATACAAAACTCGTAACGAAGCCAAAAAGAAGAATAAAAGTAAGTCTTGACCGATAAACTTCTGATGGACAGAAAACAGAGTATCGAGCTTTTAATCGATTCAGTGGAAGAAAAACTATGTAAAGTCAGACCATGCTTGACCATAAAACGTGCGCAAGAGAATCACATGTTTATTTAAAAATTAAATGCAGAGGTAATTTCAAAATTAAGTGTATTTAAAAGTACATAAAAATTTTAATGTATTTAAAATTTAAATGCGAAGGTAATTTTCAAATAAACATGTAATTCTCTTGCACAAGCTTTTATTGTCAAGCATGGCCTGAATTTACATAGGTATGTAATTGCGCTTTCACCGAATCGTCCAAAAGCTCTTTATCTCGTTTTCCTTCAATAATGAGTAGCCGGAAACCTAATAATTATCCTCTTATGGGCTCTATCTGAAGAGTGTCTTCCTTTCGATTTTGTTGAAATTCCCTTTTTTTCAATCTCCTATACTAATTTTTGTCATGATACTTGATTCGTAAGTGTTCTGAGCTTGAAGTAAAATGCTCGAAAGAATTTAAATTTTTCCATTTATATATCCTTCCTTTTCCAATTATTAGTTTTTTGAAATGCAGACTTGCAATTTTATTCTGAAATTTTCCTTCCCTGGTGAAAATTGGCGATAAGAGCTGCGTTTCAAAATACCATAGGAATTCTTATAGCCGGCTACAGAAGGAAGAGAAAATCATACAGCCGGATACGAAGCAATAAAAAATTATGCAGCCAGGATATAGTTCTTATCGCCGGGCTTTACATTTTAGGTATCGCCTGGCTGTTGCTTTTTCGACATCTATTATAAAAGGCTATAAGAAATTGTGTAGAAATTCGTGTGCTTTGGAAATCATTAAGTTTGATACGGGACCACCTTAATATTTACAAAACACACATTATATTTTCCTTTAATACATATTTTTTTTTCATCAATTAAAGTGAGAATAATCCATACAGGATGTGCAAACATTTCAAAATCATGAGTTGAATAACGCTGACTCCGCCAGATTAAATATTAGAGTCTAACACAAAGCGGAGCGGCGACGCACTGGCGCCTACAAACCTAACAGGGATACTTCACGCATTGCGCAACGCGTGAAGTATCCCAGTTAGGTTTGTAGGCGCCAATGCGAGTTTCGCGCTGGCTGCCCGCCTGCCGCGCCGCAGCGTGCCACGGCGCTTGAAGCAACTATTTCACACTAGAGGTATTGCACAGTATCATACGAAACTGAAGGCGCTCTAATATATTAGGAATGGTAGGAATCCATCAAAAGTACGGAGCTTTCCTCGCAAAATAAATCAAGATACTACGGCCCAAAAAGAGAGCAGTAGTCCAAAAACTCACCAAGTCCTAGCATCCGTAATTAGTAACGTTTAGCATACACTTTACACGCCTGGCTGTTGCTTAATCGCCATCGGCTATAAAAGGCTATAAGAAATTGTGCAGCCGCCGGCTATTGAAGCTATTAGAAATCTTACAGCCGGCTGGAGGTCTATGGTATTTTGGAACACAGATTCTACTGCCAATTTTTACCAGGGTTTTTAAATGAGCATTGGCTCAACGATTTGATCGCATTTAGCAAAAAGGAACCAGCGTGATTACAGTGTTTTAAAAGTGTTGCTTCTTCATAATTATCTAAAAAATTCTCCCAAAATAGCAAGTAGTTTTTTCTTCCCACAAAAAAATTGTTAATTCTAAAAAAACATAAATGTGTAAATTTGAATACTGTACATATCCCCGTATTAAGTGTTTCTAAAAAAAAAAAGAAGAAGTTGCACGATTTTGAAAACACTGTAATTGCGCTGGTTCCTTTTTGCTAAATGCGATCTCATTCTTTTAAAGCGTTTTTGAAAGAAGGAGGAGAGATGGTATTTTTACTCATGTCCCTTTTTGTAATAATTTCTCGGAAAACGATCTGGCACCGGAAGAAAATCTTCTTCTTTGTTAGTAACATCATCACTTATTTTAATATTTCCAAGCATTGAACAAGCAATTCATTTAAAATACCCTCCTTTTACATGACTTTAAAATGTTTTTGAGAATGAAGTTAGACAACAGCATTTTTCCACTTATCAGCCCTCATCCATAGCAAATTTCCTTTGTTCGCACTGTCTTTGAGGGTCTTTCAGTCTTAGTGACCTAGATATATAAGTATCGAGATGTCTTTTCACCTTTATAATGAGGTGTCGTTCACAGTAAAAAACTGCATTGCTAACCTGCTGGCCGAAGTAGATAAGGTCTTGGTGCTTGGCAGCTCTGTAAAGGAGGAGAACCTGGAACATAGTCTTGGCCTTCCATTTGTAGTAGTAGTGGCGAATGAATTGTATTGTCTCAGCCTCCATTTTATCTCCTGAAAGGTTTAGAAAAAAATTCTCTTTCCTATCGTGTTCACTGATAGTATTTTCTATCAGGTAAGTCAGGCAGTTAGGTATTACTCACTCTTATTCAATCAGAGAATTTCTTCAGGTCATGAACAGGGTCAATCAAAATGCGATATTTTTTAAACTGACAATGAGGGCATGAAATGTGTCCCGCGAGAGGAAGTGGCGAGTGCTTGGACAGTCAAAACGCCTTCATATCGGTGTGTATGCAACACAGACATTCGCGGGGGTCGAAGAGTTGCATCCGGTCGTCATAATGAAATTCGTTCAGTGTTCGTCGCTTGCGATACTATGGACCTAGATTGACGGTCAATTTGACTAACTAATACCGATAAGCGATAACCAATAACCAATTTCGATGAAAATAGACCATTTGATGACTGTTGGTCTCTTTGCAAAATTATTCTTTGATTAAAATTGAGTACCACCCTTCGTCATTTCCTGCCTCACAGAGCATTTGTGTCAAGTTTTCTTTTGAAAATAATACAAAGTCTAAAAATGATGAGTAGGCTATTCAGAATTCGCCAACTCACATGAGTAGAACTTCATACTTATATGAGTAGCATATGAAAAGAAATTCTACTCATATCACTAGAATATTCTACTCATAAGAGTAGGAAAGTTCAACTCATGAATTCAATTTTTTTCATTTTTCAGAAATGATGTTTCTGACCAAGAAACACCGACAAATTTGAAAAATAAAAACATTTTGTTCTTATGATTTTTTGATGTGGCGACTAGTTTCTGAGATATTGGACACGGTAGATTCAACGCTGAACTCATGTGAGGTGAAATCTCTAGTATATGAGTTGGCGAAACCTGGATGAAGAAATTCTGCTCATATGAGTTAAATTCTATTCATAAAAGTTGAAATTTTATTCATATGAGTTGAAATTCTATTCATATGCCTTTGATTTTCTACTCATTTGTACTCACCATTTTTAGCAGGGTAACGATTCTAGGACTCTCCGTACTTGGATGGCAATAAATTCAGGAATTTGATGGTTTATCGAGGTCCTAACTGCGTCCACTGCGTCGCTTTTCTTGTTTTTCTTGTTCCTTAACTTACTTCTTATCCCGACCATGATAGGTACGTCAATTTTTTGAATAATGCTTAGTTTTCCTAATTAATTAGTACGCCTTTGGAGCCCGTTTATAAAATACGACGCTCTAGGCGGGGAGGAGAGAGGGGGAGGGGGGGTTAAAAAATACAGCCAAAACGCACAAGCTAAGATAAAAAGACAAAAGATAAGAACCTACGTCATAAGGTGTAAAGAGATGGAAGGGGGGGGGGGGGGGGGTCAAAAAATCCGAAATTTAGCGTTACTTGCGTATTTCATGAGCGGCCTCTCGTATATTGATAGCGGAAATTTTACTCAAAAATCGAACAAATTTTGACCAAACAAACAAAATCATGACTTGAAAAATAGTTTTCAAAAATAAAACATTATCCATGAACCGTAAAGACAAAAGATAGCATCAAAAATTACTATGGAAAAATGTTAAACCAAAAATTCTCGTGAAATCGTAGTTCTGTAAGAATATTGATTTCTCTCTGTACTGCATCAACCATCAACTGTAACTCAAACCATGAAGGTCATTGAATGTTTCATTTCAATAATTTTCATTCATCGGTAAATTTTTCAATTATGATACTACAAACAAGACATTGATACGTGAAATACGTATGGAGTCGAGATGTACCTGCAATTAAAGGTCCGTACTGTTTCCGTACTTGATAGCCGCGGTATTCTGAAATAACAAACGCAAGAATGTGAAATTTCTCCAATTTCGTAAGGCTGTAAGTACCTATATTTCTGTTGTCGCCGTATAATAATTTGAAACTTTTGGGCTTTTTCTTCATTTTTTCAAATATAATACTGCCTATACCTATAAACAGACCCTCCTTTCAGTTCTCTAATTTTTTTTTTTTTTTTTTTTTTTTTTTTTTTTTTTTTTTTTTTTTTTTGCAAAACTAGGCACATCTTTTATCATTAAAACCTTCTCAGTTTTTTCCCCTCATTTGTATCGATAATTATTAATTTGACGTTTCCGTTTTCGGAATACTTCGGTTGCGCGTATTTACAAATGAATTAAAAAAAAAAAAAAAAAGCTCACGGTACAACACAGTAATTTTCAAAATATCCCTAATTTTTCTCCGGAATGCAAGGAAGGCTCCTTCTCTTAAAGCTATGAGATAACCGTTCTTATCCCCATCATTAGACTACCTATCGACGGTGAAAGTCGGTAATCACACAACTCGTTTGCGGTGTCTGAAAATCTCCGCCTCTAGGTACGTCATTTTTTTAAAGGAGAACAAATTGACATTATTTCTTGAAGTTTTTGCAGAATTTTCTTCGCATTGAGAAGAAAAATCATGACAGTGTTAAAGAATTGCCGTTGAGTAGTTTTCCATTTAAAAAATAAAGTATGACAGGAAGTCTGCGACGTCGCAAACCGAGTTATGTATTGCCGACTTACACCGTCGCTATGTTACAGCCTCATTAAGGGCCGATATTTAATCAACTTCCTGTTTACGTATTCATTTTTTCTTGGGAGCAGTCTGTCACTGTCCGGTCCGATAGATGGTCGTTTTTTCTAAAACATAAATGGTAATCTCTAGTTTTGATCTCAAAAGGGCTTTTGTACATTTGAATGATATACATGATAATCCAAAAGTCTTGCATAATCAGCAATCCCCCCCACCCTGTAATTTTTGAAAAAAGGGAATCACTCTGAGCAAAAACCCTAGGGGCCAAAGAAGTGTTGCGAGACATTTGAACAACTCTGTACTGATGTAGTGGACCGTTTTTCATGCGTGTTATTTAATTAGAGACGAAAAAACTGAGAGAATATTCTGGAGTAGAGTTTCTTGCTATTATTTTGTTTTCGTAAAGAACAAAAGATGAGAGAAGCTTACTCTTTTGTATGATAGTCGCAGCTTCATCTTGCGAATACTGTTCTGTGCTACCGACCCTTGGTCTCGGTGTCCTCCGTTTCTTATCCGAAAGTCCGTCGACTGTTGATGAGAAGAATACAAAAATCAAAAAGCGGATTCAAAAATCAATAAAAACTGTCATCGACAATCATCAGTTTGGTCCAAAAAGAAAAAAAGGAGAAACAAGCGAAAATGAATAAAATGTCAAAAAAGAAAAACGAGAGGAAAAAGTAGGTTTGAAAACTTGTCCCGCATGATCAGGAGAGGCCAGAGGATGGGAGTGCTCGAAGTTATTTTTATAATAATAATCAAATAAAAAAAAAATCGATAAACGGGAAATAAACTTTTTATTTTAAGCTTATTTGGCCTAAAAAATACTGCTGAAGCGAGGTATACGCTTATGATAGGTGAAGTGTGTAAATTTTTCCAAAACAGGGCAGCTGAAGCGTAACTTAACACGGATCTGTTTTTCTTAAGATCCTTTTAAAAAGATTCAAGAATCAGTCACTTACTGAGAAAGCACGTGAAAATATGCAATTTCAATCGTTGATTCCTATCCGGTATCAAAGGATTTTTTCCATGTTGACATCTATCCAACATTTTCCTGTGTTTTGATTTTTGGCCGTGTTATTCCTGACTTTGCATCAAATTTTTCTTAAAATCTTGTCGTTCAATACAGTCCTCGTAAAACTTAAATTTTGTGTATCTGAACTTACATAAAGGCAATACAGTTCTCTAAATTTTGCTGAAGTTGCGCAGCTTATCGCGATATTAAAACCGAAGCACAAAAGATACTCACATCCTACACCTGTAAGCAACTATTCGTGCTCAAGTGTAAATTAATTATCTAAATTGATTAAATTAAAATTAAGTATTGCTTGGTTTTTGTAGCATACACGAAGAGTTGAAGGCACTCGGTCTTTCTGGGTCTTCGCAGTATTCAGTGCTACCCGCCCACGCACCGTCGCGCGACAGCCACAGGTGGAGCTTCGAGTTCAGTGCCTGGCGAATTAAAACGCCTTCACTTAAGTGCGTATGCAACACGGACATCCGTAGAGGCCGAATAGTTGTATCCAGGCGCATGACGCTGTAATGAGATCCGTTCAGTGTTCGTCGCTTATTGAAATACTAACAGCGTCGCTTTTCTTGTTTTTCTGACGACTTAACTTAATTCCAGCGGTGCCTATTATGCCGATGAAGTAAACTATTAGTGATTTTTTACGGTGGCATCGTTAATTTTCTAAAAATGTATTAATTTTTACAACGAATTTGAACTCGTTTTTCTAAACATATTATCCGCAACGTCTTCGATCCTCTAAACAACAAAAAGTCAGGTATCTAAGTACGATTTGCAGAGTTTCCTTTGACCTAATTTAACAAGTCTGCCTTTTTTTGGATTTTCCTTCCTTTTGGAAAAATAATTTTTCCGTTTAAGTACGAAATTTTCAGAAAACAAGCTTGATAAATCGCACGGAAATGACCATGTGTCTTTCGAAAAAAATGAAATGCGATAGGAAATCTGTATCACACCTTAAGCCGAAATACACGTACACGATTTGATAGTTTCACTGGTGAAACCGTGGAATATCTGCAATTGTAAGCCCAGTAAATATGTTCATGAAAATCATGTAATGGTGTACCTTTTACTCTCTGAGCGGCAGCGGCCCTTACACTTACAGACCTTTAAGAATGACGAATATGACAGAGTCATTTCATGAAAACTCCAGAAAAAGTTCTTCGTATAGCATTTCAGCAGTGCAGTTTTGAAGTGCGGCGTTTTTAAAGTCCCTTCATTTTATTTGCAATGTAATTTGAGCCGCTTGGATGATGAAATAGGTGGTTTCATTACATAAGCGTCTTGTTCTTCCGCAAACGCTGCAGATTTTGAGCTGCATAGAAATATTTTTCTCCATATCGGATTAAAGAACCCCTCTTTAATTTAAATGGTCCCGAAGATCTCGGAATATAAATTAAATAATATTTGGTCCCTCCAATGCGTGACCAACCGTTTGATAAATAATTGTTTTCTTGTCATGGAATTGTAGAGAGGTAAATGGTATCCATCAAATTTTGAATCAGCTACTATATTTCTGAATTTTGCTCTGCACAGGAAAAAAACCACATTAGATCCAGAGTCCAGACTCTTAAAAACATCGACAAGAAAAAAACTTTTGATTCAATCGGATTCTTGCTTAAATCAAGAACCAAGTTTCTTATTTTGAGCGGATTTCCTTTTGATTTAAGCAAAAATCTGGTTGAATCAAGAGTATTTTTTCTTGTCAATGTTTTCTAGAGTCTGGACTCTAGATACAATGGATTTTTTTTTTCAGTGTGCTCTGAAGTGACGAGAAAAAACTCCGTAAGAATATTCAAGGGTTGTCAAATTTCTCCTTATACAAAATATTTGTTTTTATAAATGGTCTCGAATGTTTCTTTTTATTTTTCTGATGAATTAGATTAATGTTCGAATAAAATTCTGTGGAAAATTCGAAGAACAAAGTTAATCAGGTAACTATCGAGAAAATGGGGGTTTTATCCTTAGAAATCTGGCATCGTCTCGATGTTCGCATGGGGGTATTTTTTGACGAATTTTTGAATTTTTAGCTTTCCATAATAGGTGTAATCACTTAAAGCTTCAGCACGATATAAATTTTTTTGTCAGCTCTGGTAAAAATTGGCAATAGGAGCTGCGTTTCAAAATACCATAGGAGTCCTCATAGCCGATTGAAGAAGGCGATAGAAAATTATATAGCTGGCTGTAGAAAGTGGAAAAAATCATACGGCCGGGCTACACGAAGCGATAAAAAATTATTCAGCCGGGCTATAGTTCCTATCGCCGGGCTTTACACTTTATCGCCTGGCTGTTGCTTTTTCGTCATTGGCTATATAAAAAGATATAAGAAAGTGTGTAGAAATTCGTGTGTTTTGTAAATCCTTAAGTTTGTACGGAATCACCTTAACCCTTTGTTGCATGAGCGAATCGTTGATTTTGGACAGAAAATCTACATTGTTCGGTATTTTTTCGCCAATAGAGTCAGTTGGAATCTATCAGTGTAGTTTCCTTTAAAGTTAGGAGATCAGACTTACAATGCTCCCAAAAAAACATTTTTTGCTTTGATTCAATTTAATACTCCAGCATAGAAATAAAGCTGAAAACCATGTGTTGCTTTCATGCAACGCTATGACATTATAGTTTCCTTTACTACATATTTTTTTTCATCAATTAAAATGAGAATAATCCATACAGGATGTGCAAACATTTCAAAATCATGAGTTGAATAACGCTGACTCCGCCAGATTAAATATTAGAGCCTAACTCAAAGCGGAGCGGCGGCGCACTAGCGCCTACAAACCTAACAGGGATACTTCACGCATTGCGCAATGCGTGAGGTATCCTTGTTAGGTTTGTAGGCGCCAATGCGCGTTTCGCGCTGGCTGCCCGCCTGCCGCACCGCGGCGTGCCACGGCGCTTGAAGCAACTATTTCACACCAGAGGTATTGCACAGTATCATACGAAAGTGAAGGCGCTCCAACATATTAGGAATGGCAGGCATCCTTCAAAAGTTCGGAGCTTTCCTCGCAAAATAAATCAAGATACTACGGCCCAAAAAGAGAGCGATAGTCCAAAAACTCACCAAGTCCTAGCATCCGTAATTAGTAACGTTTAGCATACACTTTATCGCCTGGCTGTTGCTTAATCGCCATAAGCTACAAAGGGCTATAGACAAAGAAATTGTGTTGCCGGCTGTAGAAGCTATTGGAAATCTTACAGCCGGCTGGAGGTCTGTGGTATTTTGGAACACAGATTCTACTGCCAATTTTTACCAGGGAGGAAATCATACAATCCTCTCTGGGAGGTTGTTTAAGAAAGGCAAGAGAGACTAGTGAATATATTGGAAGTTAAACTGTTGCCACGATTTTCTCTTGCGATATTTCAACGTACCGTCCCATTTAATATTCTCGAAAGGAAACAATTCAACTTTGTTGCTTGGAACAGATAACTAATATTCTCATTCAGCTAAGGAAAGTCAGAAATTCATGAAATTTTTCCAAATATTACGTAGATTGTTCTTCAACTTGAAGAACGAAGTGAGATAAGAGGTCTTCAACATCGCAAACCGAAGTTCGTGCTTTCTAAGTTAGACCTCTGTTATGATTTTTTTGGCACAGCCGAAGCCATATTTTACAACTGTAGCATTAAACCAATGAATTGTAATTTTTTTTTTTTTTTTTTTTTTTTTTTGTATTAATTGAGTCATTTACACTCATGAGATGCTTAATAAGAGTAAAAAAAAAAGGCAGTCACTTGAGTGACACTTGTTGTAAACAATGAGTTCCAAAGGCCACAATTTTCATCAAAGGCACCAATGTTGCGGTGCAGTTTTTCGCTGATCGGGTATCTCAAATCACTGGAAATGTAGTTATAAAAACTCGCTTGTCAACTGTAGAGACAGTACCCTCCCCTCCAATGAAAATTCAAAGTCATTCTCCAGAAATATGCGGGCTCCTTTCCGTAATCGACTCAAAATGAATATTTTCTCAATCCGATATTGAATCGATAGTAAATCAGTGTAGGGAAATTCGAAAGGAATTTTTTATCATACTGAGCGTGACTTGATCTGCGTGCAAACATGTTAATCTCGAAATCCAGTTGAGAGACTAAGTTTAAAATGCTCCAAAATCTGGATTTGTTTATATCCGTAATCTTATCTATGTATATTTTGAAATAAATTTCAAACGGTGCATCAAGTCAGAAGCAAAGCTGAATTTTTTAATTCATGAATCGGAATCTAAATGCTCTTCAGTCCAGCTTTCAATATGATAAAAAATGCTTTCTTTTTCTACCGACAACGAAAAAATAACAAATTAGTTTTAAATTTTGAAATTTATTTATTAACATACATAAGTAATTAACGAATATCAACAACTTCAGATCCTGGATGCATTTGGAAAGAAACTTTCATTTGAAAGTCCTAAGTTCTTACGATCCTTCTCATATCACGTCACTGGCACTTAAAAACACTAAGTTTTTTTTTCTAAATCTTCGGTAGGTATAAATCTGTTTGTTTAGATACTATACA